GGGGATTGAACCGCGGTCCCTGTGCTTTGCTAAGCTTGTTCTAAGTAGGTGCTTTAGACCACTGAGCCATCTCACCAGCCGCCCCATCTTATTTTTGATACAAGGTCTCACTAAATTACTAAATTTCTTGGGCTAGTCTCGAGCTTGGTATCCTCTTGCCTCAGCCTCCCAGGGTGCGAAGGATTTTAAGCACATGCCCTTGGCTTGGTCTGATCTCTTACCTTTAGTGGTAGTCTGTGGCTTCCTGTCTTTCTCTAGCTCTTCGTCCTGTAAGTGGCTCATAATCTTCTCCAGAGTCTTCCCAATCTCCACAAAGGACGGGCGCAGTTTGGGGTCCATCTGTTGGCAACCATACTGGCCATGAGCCCTGCCCTCCATTTCCCACCCCAAAAATGAAGTGTGAGTCTCATTCTGGTGTTTTTTAGGACCCGAATGTACAACTAAGAGCTCTATACTGAGGTCTCAGGCCATGAGGGCGATCCCCAGGGTTAAGATCAGGGAAGATGATATTGTCTATGTACCTTCCCATCTCAATCTCCTTTGTCCTGTCATTTGAAAGAGAGCTCTCCAAAGGTGTATGTTCACATGGGTTGTTTTTTGAGACAGTCTTGTTATGTTGTTCAGGCTGGCCTTGAGCTAACTATGTAGCCCAGGATGGCCTTGAACTCATGGCCATCCTCCTACCTCAGCCTGCCAATGCTGGAATTACAAACCCGCACCACCATGTCTAGCTTCACATTAGTTCTTGAGTTCTGCTAAATGTGTGTTTGGGAGGTACCTGAACAAATTAGATACCCTTTGGTCATAACAGGTCTAGCCCCATATAAAATGAACACTAATAAGAGGCTCTCTTATATGTGTCAGGACTGGCTAGATCCACAGTCCAACAATAAAACCTGACCAGGGCTCCCAGCATCCAAGGCTAATGTCAGTAGGTCTACCATGCAGGCAGAGGATTGATAATATAAAGCAATTTTTTCTTCTCTTGGCCCAGGGCTCTAGAGAGCCTGGCCAGACCAAGAGGAGGAACTGAGGTTGGTATTAAACATCCAGTAAAGGGGTCAGGGAGATGGCTCAGTGGAATAAGAGCTTCCCTGGCAAGTGCAAGGGCCTGAGTTCAATCCCTGGTTCCACAAAAAAAAAAAAAAAAAAAAAAAAAAAAAAAAAATCTAGTAAAAATGAGGTCCTTTATTTTAATAAGGACTAATTAGCTGCCTCTCCCTAAAGTCCTAACCAGGATAAAAAGTACTCAGCCCCTGACTATGCATAGCCAGGGGAGAAAGATACTTACATTACAGCAGTTGAAGGTGAGCTGCAGAAAGTCTGCTGGACAGTCTCCCACCATGTGCTGGAAAGCATCATAGTCCAGTCCAAAATTCTGTGGATGGGAACGGCGGAAGGAAGATACAGGGGTATGGGTAGCGGGTCATGAACGCCCACCTGTGCTGGCCTGCTCTAGAAGAGGCGGGAGATGCCTCTAAGAAGCAGCCACATAAGTTCTGGCAACTCTACCCCAAGGACCAAACAACGCCATAGCCACAAGCCCACCCCAGGCCCATAGCTTACCTCAGTGCGGGGAAGGTAGTCCGGATCAGCCTGGATACGGGCGATGATCTCGCAGAGGATGATGCCGTAAGAGAACACATCTGCCTGGTGGGTGGTCAGACCTCGGTTTCCCTCTCAACAGAGGGAAGGGTTTCTGCCCCATGTCCAACCGTCCACACTTGGGCCCTATTATCCAAGTCATTCTCTGGGCAATTGCAGATATCAACCCTATTCTCATAGGAAGGATGTAGATTCTTACCGTAAACATAGAGGATGATCTTGGGCACTAACAACTGGTAGAGTGGCTTCTATACAGAACCAGGCCCTGCGCTCTTCCAGACTTACCTTCTCATTATAGGGTTCATCTCGGAGAACCTCCGGTGCCATCCAGAAAGGTGAGCCCACCACAGCCAGCTTCTCACTCCCCATGCTGTGAGGTGGGATTATAAGTGAGCTTTCCACTGCCTGGCACAATGGGACCTCTGGACTGGCGGGACTTCCCCTCAAGGATAGGTACAGATTAGGACTGACCAAATCCAGGAGGTGAGACTGAGCTGTGACTAAGACCAGGCCCTGGGAAGGAGGCTGGGTTTGCCCTGGCTTTAACTCCCTCTGCTGTGAGCCTAGGGTCCACTGGAGCTGCTCACCTCACATCAGGGATCTTCTCAGCCAGGCCAAAGTCAGCCACCACTGCAGAGTAACCATTCTCATCTTTCTTTATCAGGCAGTTCTAGGGTTCCCAAAGAAAAAGAAGACAGGGTAAAGCTCAAAAGTCCACTACAGAGTTACTACCAGGCCTCTATTTTTTTGTTGTTATTGCTGTTTGTTAATTTGTTTGGTGATAGGAATTGAGCCCAGGGCCTGGTGTATGTCAGGCATACACATATACTCTACCACTGAGCCATACTCCTAGCCTTTCTCTGCTTCCTAGAGAATTCATTCTCATTCTCATTTTCTCTCTCTCTCTCTTGCTCGCTCTCACTCTCTCTGTCTCATGTTTTCCCTCTCTTCTCCCTTTTTCTTTTTTCGGCGGAACCAGGGATTGAACTCAGGTCCTTGCATTTGCCAAGGAAGCACTTATTCCACTGAGTAATCTCCCCAGCCCCCCTCCCTTCTCCCTTTCCCCCCCTTTTTTTCAGTTTCAGGGGCTTAAGGGCCTTTGTACTGTACATCCCCACCCCACTTCCTTTAATTTCTTTTTATTTTAAGACAGTCTCTTGCGAAGTTGCTCAGGCTGGGCTGGAACTTGCCATCCTCCTGCCTTGGCTCCCCAAGAGTGCTGGGGTTACAGGTGTGCCACCATGCTTGGCTCAGACTTGGGGGCTTCAAAGACAGCCATGTGAGATGAGTTAGTTCTGGATCTTGAGTGACTATCCCACATTGTACTTTAGGCTCTAAACACCAATATTTATTTTATTTTTTATTTTTTTCAAAGTTTTATTGATAAACAGATAGCAATGAGACAGTTTCTAATCAAATTGGAAAAACACCAGTATTTATCCTTACTTTCTAAGTACTAGGCATTTCCTCAATGAACAAAACGGGGCCAGGGAGATAGCTCAGTGGCATAAGTGCCTGCCTGGCAAGCACAAGGTCCTGAGTTTATTCCCCGTACTGAAACTAAAGAACAGGAACCTCTGTTTTCTTGTTAATCTGGTACAGAGAACAGAATGTCAGTTCACTGCCCCTCCCCACTTCCTCAGAGTGCAGAGACCCAATTCCCAGGTCTACCATACCAATTGGTGTAAGTGTAAGTACAGGACAAATACCCACGCCTATACTTTCACTGCCCACAAATTCATAGGGCGAAGGGGCTGGGGAGATGGCTCAGTGGAATAAGCACTTGCCTGGCAAGCGCAAGGGCCTGAGTTCAATCCCGGGTTCCACAATTCACAGGGTGAGTTCCAGGGTTAAGGTCCACATGACAAGTCTATGCTCTGGCTAAGGGTATAGCTCAGTGATACGGTGTATGCACAGTATGCATGAGGCCATGGGTTTGATTCCAGCACCACAAAAAAGCCTATGAACCACTGAGCTAAACTATCTCCCTGGCCCTGAGTTGGGCTTTCCACACAGTCTCCAGTTCAGGGAAGACGCTGAGGACATTCTCACTGAACAAATGCTGCTGTCTGCATAGAAAGGATGGACCCAAGTGACCTATAAATAAATACGAAGCAGCAACCAGTTCTCCCCAAATAGCTGCCTTCAAAATAGCCCTATACCACTCTGGCTCCAAGATGCCTCACCCCACCCCATCCTCCAGAAGCAGAGAACAGGGCTCACAGAACAATTTCTGGGGCCACCAAGGCCTATCTAACCCAAACCAACCCTCCTTTCTCCTTGCCAGCCTTAGCATCTGGTTGCCCAGAAACCTCCTTACTGAGCACCAGGCACATATCAATCAGTTCCTTATTCTGACCTTGTGATCACACAGCATTCCCTGATCTTAAAGATCCTGGGATTTAATCCTATCTTCCACCCTGAATAGATGTGTGTTGCCTGGCATCCAAGGACTGCCTTGTGTTTGTCCTGGCTCTGGCCCTCCCAGCAGTCCTGCTGGATCAGCAGCCCAGCTCCTGGCTTTAACTGTGAGAAGATGGGCCTGAGGCCAATATGCCTTCGAGCCAAAGTCCTGAGAGCAGGTCACTAGCCAGTAAGGCAGTGGCACCTCAGATCTGTCAGCTCTTCCCTCTCCCTCCTATTTTGCCAACAACTGAGACTGTCTCCAAGGCTCAGTCTAAAGTCCTATTTACTATCTGTTTTATGGTCCTCAGAAACAACCCTGTGAAAGCCAGCTTGGGAGCAGCAGCTTCAGAACAGAACATGGTCACTGTGCAGCCCAGGTTGAAGCTATTCCATTCCTGTCCTGTATTCAGGTTCACAGGGAGCTCACGCTCACTCATACAGACCACCCATCGAGTAGAAAGGGATTTCAGCAACTCCACAGCAGCTAAGAAATGGCGAGGGCAGGGATGTGGGGTAAGGCTGCCTCACCCAGGCTACCCGGAGTGTGATCACTGCCTCTCTCAAGGTTTTTCCACAGCCAACAGATATGCATTAAACCCGAAGCGGGAAATCAGGAGACAAACCCAAACAAAATGTAATAAAAACAAACAAAAAATCTAACTTTAGGATTCTGCATCAGAGGTGATAGGAAAAGTTGGAGAGCCCTTGCCCAAAGTAGCCCATCTGAGCTTCCCCAGCAAAGTCTAGCACCTGCCCTTGAAGTGACACAGCCTAGTCTGCTGTGACTGTACTACTTGTTGGCTTTATTCTCTTCTCTCATTCAGTCTTCCCTGGCTTCTGCCGGAAGTACCGTACTGTCACTGAAAACCCCAGCAAGCTCTACAGCACTAAGCTCAACAGACAGAATTAGTTGATCTTTGTGTGTGTGAACTGCTGATTACTTCCTTACGTATTTTTATATGCATGATTCAGAAATCATGTTAGTATTTGGTGTGCAGAGAATTCAGCACTCATGGTCTTAAGAACAAACAGACCAGCTATTAGAGGACAGCTGGAAGCTATTTTCTCCTGGCTTCTGTGACACTACAGTTTTCAATTTCTTTCTCTACCTTAAGACTCTAGGTTTGTCATCATGTTTTTCCTAAAATGTAAATCCACATTCTCTTCTGTTTAAAAGCTGACAATGACATATTATATGATTCACACTATATAAAATGCCCAGAATAAACAAATCCAAGAAACCAAAACTAGCATAGTGGTTGCCAACAGCTGAAAGAGAATAGGACACTTTTTTTTGGCGGAATCAGGGATTGAACTCAGACCCTTGCACTCGCCAGGGAAGCGCTTATTCCACTGAGACATCTCCCCGGCCCTCACTTTTTTTTTTTTAAAGGAGTAATGAAAATGTTTCAAAATTGAATAGTGGTAATGGTTGAAGATGCTAGACACCATTAAAATGCATACTTTTGAGCTGGGGAGATGGCTCAGTAGAATAAGTGCTTGCCTGGCAAGCACAAGGGCCTGAGTTCAATCCCTGGTTCTGCCCCCCAAAAAATAAATAAATAAATAAATAAATAAAATGCATACTTTAGGGGAGGTTTATTTTTTGGTGCCGAGGACCAAACTATTCTACTGTTGAGCCAAATCCCCAGCCCCTAAAATGCATACTTTAAAAGGATGCATTTGCCATGTGCAGTGCTGCACACCTATAATCCAAGAGACTCAGGAGGCTGAGGCAGGGGGATTACAAGTTCTTCAAAGCCAGCTTGGCTAACTTAGCAGGACACTATCTCAAAATTTAGAATAAAAAATTAGAGCTGGGGATGTAACTTATTGGTAAAGCTTGTCTAATGTGTACAAGGTCCTAGGTTCAATACCCAGTACCCAGCCCTGGGTTGGGAGGTAAACTTTAGCATGTGCAAGACCCTGTGTTTTATCCCTAGTACTGTGAAAAATAAGTAAATAAATAATAAAATAATGAATTTTATCCTAGGCAAATTGTAGCTCATTAAAGCTTCTTCTCCTTCTCCTCCTTCTTGAGACAAAGTTTCACTGTGTAGTTCAGGCTGGCCTCAAACTCACAGCAATCCTCCTACCTCAGCCTTTCAAGTGCTGGGATTGCAGGCATGCACTATTGAACAGCGAAGCTGTTACTTTTAAAAAGCTGGCAATGGTCCTTAATTTCCCTACATAGAATGAGATCTAAGTAGACAATATGATATGATCAGAGCTTTTCTATCAACCTTATCCCTTGCCATTCTCAACTAACAGCATACACCAGTGTTTAAGGTCTCTATCCTTATTTACCCCATTTCTCTTGTATGATCTAGAATATCACCCCTTACCTGTGGTATATTTATCAAATAGAATCCAGTTTTCAAAATTCAGCTCAGAGCCACACCTGCAATCCCAGTACTGAAGCAAGCTGACACAGAAAGATGATAGGTTCAATCCTACCTGGGCAAATTAGCAAGACCTTATCTCAAAATTAAAAATACACAAGCAGTGCCAGGTGTGGTGGTGCACAGCTCTAATCCCAGAATTCAGAAAGCTGAGGCAGGATTCTGAGAGTTCAAGGTCAGGCTGAACTGCCTAGTGAAACCATATGTCAAAAAGATAAGAGAGAGAGGAGAGAGGAGAGAGGGGAGAGAGGGCAGAGAGAGGGCAGAGAGAG